ATTTGATGCACGTGCGATAAATATTATCACTTCTACTCCAATTATAAATTATAAATATCCAAATATTGAATTAGCGTGTTCATCACTTTTAACGTCCNAAAAAAAAAAAAAAAAAAAAATCCCCAATCAGTCTGTCATTCAGAACAATGAATCAAGAATTCGCCTTAATCAAACAAGTTAAAAGATCTAATACACCTATGCTTAAAGTTCGAATTGTAAGAATGTTTTTCCAAGACTGGAGCAGCACATACAAATCCTATCTCGCGAGAAATTCTTTCTATTCCTTTGAGTCTGAACAGCACTCCTGATCATCTCATCTGACACTTTTCAAAAAAGGGTGATTACACAGTAAAAAACGGCTACCATTTGATTTCGCAATGACAATTTGGTAACTCGAAAGCTTCTTCTTCTTCTCAAGACTGGTGGTGGAAAGCCTTGTGGAAAATTAATATTTTACCGAAGATAAAAATATTTTTATGGAAGGTGAGTAATTTGGCAATTCCGACAGCGGAAAATCTGGCCCGGCGACATATTCGGGTGGACGGAAAATGTCCCAGGTGCTCTTGCTGGGAATCTAATGTTCACGTTTTTTTGACTGTTTTTGGGTTAAAAGGTTTTGAAAACTAGCAGGTTGGTGGGATACACTCGTTCGGGTATGTGGATTGAGCTTTGCATCTATCTTCTGTGAGATCTTGGAAAGCGATCGTGGGGATGATTTTTCATTATTTGCTTATTGCTTGTGGATTATTTGGCATGAACGTAATCGCATTAATCATGGTTTGAAAGGCAGAACGGTGGAGCGAGCATGGACTTTTGGGAAAGTATGGCGAGAAGAGGCCGAGAAAATTCGGTCCGGGCGGATCATGGTAGAGCGCTCATTGAATCAACCATCAGTCGATAGGTGGTATGGGCCGGGAAAATACAATAACGGTCTCACGTTATTCTGCGATGCGGCGGTCCATGATTGGAGAATCGGATCAGGCGGGTGGATAGGCGACTCGGAAGGCATGTGTTGGGCTGCTTTTACAGCTCATATTTCGGGCTCTTTCTCATCAATTACAGCCAAAGCCCTATCCCTCAGGTTCGGCCTCCGTTTTGCGCTTGATGTAGGATTCTCGATTTAATATGCCAAGACAGACGCCCTGGCGGTTGTTTGTGGTCTGTTAGATATGTCGCCAAACGATCCTTTGCATCATATATTTGCGGACATATTATCGCTTTTGTTTCTTTTAGACTGTGGGTCTTGTTGTTATATTGGTAGAAATTTGAACTCGGTTACCCATTGTCTAGCTAGTAGGGCTATTTCATTGACTGGATCTTCCTTTTGGAAGGATTGCCTCCCGTCTTTTTTATCTCCTCTCTTGGGTGATGTTCGGAGATGTGACCTCTGTTGAATTTAAATAGTGATATTGGTATGTAAAAAAATAAAATAAAAAAATAAAAAAAATAATCTTCTTTTATAATAATTGTAAATGCTTGAAATATTATTCATTTGATAATTAAATTTTTGCTTTTATTAAATTCACTTATACAACACATATTTCATGGAAAAATAATAATTTTAAATTTCCATTTTATTTATATTTATTGGTAATGAATTAGTTAGTAGTGAAATTTAAATATTTAGATATATTATATTTATTATTGGCTACCGAAAATTTTCAGTTATTATACTTGATTATATTAAATTTATTTACCCAATTTTTCTTTAAAAGTAAACATAAAACTATATTTTTTTACCATTTTTTAATGTGGAATTCATATATATCATATGATAAATCATATAGATATTTTTCATGTGGAATTTTTAAATTTTGATTTCAACCGACTAACAAAATAGTAAATATATGAATGTATTTCATTAATTCATCAATATCATCACCCAATGAAAATTTACCTGTTTATGAAAAAATATATTTTAAAATTGACCATATATTTTATAAGATTTTATTGATATTTAAAATAATTTTTTAACTAAAATAGATCGAATAGAATTATTCTAATTATTATTTTTTGTATTTTCAATATTTTTGATTTGTGACAATAATTAATTAAATAAATATCTAAAATAATACAATCAATTAACCAGTTATCATAATTAAGAATGAATTCATTTATTTCGGTTAACAAATTGTTGTGAAATTAATAGTAAGATTTTATTAAAAAATATATCTATGTGCTGGCTTATCGATAAATAATTGTGTGGTTGTAGCTCTTTCTAACAGAAATAAAAAAAAGTTCCACAACATGTAAGAATACGTAAACAACTTCAGTTAATAAGATCTCACCGGATTATACTGAGTTTGAACATCCATCAAGACTTTGTGGTGAAATTAATGCAAAATGAAAAGTATGACTAATGCAATAACCTATATGCATATACGCAATATAAATATTGTATATATATATATATATATATATATATATACATATACACTGATGTGCCAAAATAATTGACTTACCGAGGTTGTCGGTCGAACCGCCTCATCTCGTGGCACAAGAGAGCTCAGACATCTCGATCGCCTTTGTCTTCAAGAACCGGATCGACCTGCAAAGCGCCGGAACGGGGCCCGGCGTAGACACTCCGACGCTCAAGTCAGAAAACGGATGTTTTAATTGTGTATTTCAATAATCTTAAGAGCTTAGATCTAGAAAATGAACCTGAATCCTTATTTATAAGGATTTAATGGCTTCTTACCCAAGAAAAAGGTTTCTTTAATAAACAAGGAGTCTCATTCTCCCAAATCACTGTGTGGATATATACAAACTTACTTAAATATCTTTTAGGAATATTTCATGGATCTTCATGGATATTTTTAACCCATACCATATATCGCATAAACGAGTTCTCAGCTTCCTTGGACCGACCCTATCCGAGCTAACCATTTAGTCGGTTCGCCGAGTCATTTTTGGTGCTACATCATCTAGCCCCCCCACTCTAGACGAACTTATGAATATAAGACTTGTCTATGAGTAGAACAATCATCTCTCGCCCAAGTCTATCTTGTAGGACTATGGCGTCCAGGTCCCATGGTTTACCACGTCGGAGTTCTGCTGCTACCTTTTGCGTGCAACTATGGCTCTCGGGCCAACTTTGCGCTTTCCTTGACTTTGTGGCCCTCGAGCAACCTGCTCGATGTTCTGCCACCTTAATACGTTTGACACTCGCACTATCTGCTCGAGTTGTAATGATGAATCCCGCATTTACGAGCTCTAGGAGGTGAGGTCTCTTTATACGCAAGCTCTCTAACTCCGTTGGATCCTCTGAGCTAACAACTCAAGTCAATCCACCGAGTGAATTCTCGCTAGAACGAAGGTCCACGTGATCCAAACAACATATTCCAAGCGACATCGACTTTGTTGGTTCGAGTCGAGCACATCCACTATGGGTTATTCTCCCGAGCTCCACGAGTTCGGGCACCGCCACGATGGGCTAATTGCCCTCGATCCTGCTACAAGTCGGAGGACCGATTGCCAAGCTCCAAGAGCTCGGGCCACTCCACGACAGACTATCGCCGTAAATTTGGCAATGTCCGAGGACTCGCTGTCGAACTCCACGAACTCGGACAATACCAAGACAGGTTTTTTCCCTAAATTTGTCTGCGATTCTGATGACCCGCTGCTGAGCATATAATCACAACAATAATGCCAAGCGTATAAACACAACAACTATCCTGCCCTAATGCGGCGGCGAGTTTAACTCATGCCGGGCTAGAATAATCTCGGTAATCATTTGAATTGGACATTTGCTTCTCGAGCTTGAGTGATGATGACTTAACAGGTTTTCGCACACCGCCGAGCCCCGCGAGCTCGAGGGACTTCTTCAACAGGCTTTCGCCCTATCTCGACTATCGCCGAGCTCCGCGAGCTCGAGGACTGCTTCAACAGGCTTTCGCCCTATCTCGGTCATCTCCGAGCTCCGCGAGCTCGAGCGACTGCTTCAACTGGCTTTTGCCCTATCTCGATCATCGCTGAGCTTCACGAGCTCGAGCGACTGCTTCAACAGGCTTTCTCCCTATCTCGGTCATCTCCGAGCTCCGCGAGCTTGAGCGGCTGCTTCAACAGGCTTTCGCCCTATCTCGATCATCGCTGAGCTCCACGAGCTCGAGCGACTTCTTCAACAGGCTTTCGCCCTATCTCGACTATCGCCGAGCTCCGCGAGCTCGAGCGACTTCAACAGGCTTTCGCCCTATCTCGACTATCGTCGAGCTCCGCGAGCTCGAGCGACTGCTTCAACAGGCTTTCGCCCTATCTCGACTATCGCCGAGCTCCGCGAGCTCGAGCGACTTCAACAGGCTTTCGCCCTATCTCAACTATCGCCGAGCTCCGCGAGCTCGAGCGACTGCTTCAACAGGCTTTCGCCCTATCTCGGTTATCGCCGAGCTCCGCGAGCTCGAGCGACTGCTTCAACAGGCTTTCGCCCTATCTCGATCATCGCTGAGCTCCGCGAGCTCGAGAGACTGCTTCAACAGGCTTTCGCCCTATCTCGATCATCGCTGAGCTCCACGAGCTCGAGCGACTTCTTCAACAGGCTTTCGCCCTATCTCGACTATCGCCGAGCTCGCGACTGCTTCAACACGCATCTTATGGCTCTAGGCCAACCCTGCACTTATCTTAGCATGACAAAAACGTATGACGAAAGATATGTAAGAAATTAATATTTCTTTCGCAAGAAATAACCCAATGAAACTTGTCACTATATCTACACTTGATCATTGGAACGAGTAGAGACTAGCTTATGTACCTGGAGTTGAGATACCATTAGTGACCTTTTAAGAAAATAACCGTGGTGTGAATATTTTTAGTCGAGCCTCTTCAACCCATGCACTAGGCTGCTGAGTTTCTCCTCGAGCCAATCCTCTCTAAGCAAATAGTGAGTGCCAAAGTGACCTCAGACTTTCGAATTTGCGAGTGCTAAAGCGACCTCGACTTGGCGTGAGGTCATCCGAGCCACATGAGTCCAACCCTCAGCCAATCAATTACTGTCTTCGGATGTTAAACTACAACATAGAACTCCGCAAAACAAAATCGTGGAAACGAATTATCTTAAAATAACATCATAATCATCATTTTAAGCGGAAATAAATAGTAGCGTAGTAGCTATACCGGCAAAATGCGTTTTATATAAATAACCTGAGCCCGATGAGTTTGTCGGGTCTGTGATCCAGATCCCTTTGCCCCCTTTTGCCGGGTCGTGAGAGAATATTGGAGCATTGTAATATCTCGGGTCGTCCCGACTGCTCTACGTAAATTACTAGGCTTCACAATCGTTGGATTCTCCTGACCTCTCTTCCTGTACGCGTAACACCTTGCCGCTTCAAATATCACACAACCTGTTTAATTATTCCTCCAAAAAGCTTGCAAGTGGCGGTAGCGGGCGGTCGACCGGTCACTAATGGGCCAAACTGTAGCTCCAAGCTATGCACGGTACTCAATGGGTACCACAACTTCACAAGATACCGCGGCTGAAGTTAGATACCGCTACTTAGGGCTCTCCGCACAAATCTCGCTCCCAGCAGCTACTTCATTTCTTTTTTTCCTCCTTCTTTTGCTTTAGATCAAGCGGACCTATAAAATTTGAGACTTTAATAAACTAGGCCTAACAAACAAATCTCTGAATGGCCCAGCAGCCAAACAACCTCTCATCCCAACAGACAACTTGCGGCCCAACAGCTGAACAGGCCCAGCTGCCAATTTTTGGGCCAACTGTGCACCGTCATCTTCCTCACGCCCCGCACATAACCTGCTGCTGAATATCCCCTCTTTGTTCTGCTGCTTGTACACTTTTTCTTTTTTGAAAGCATCCCCGTAACTCCGCCTCAGTCCTTTCAAGATTTTATGTCGGCTCTTTCCAGATTTTATGTTTACAAAAGCCCGCAGCTTGTCAAAATTGGGCCCAAAATTAGGCCCACTTGATTATCTTCAGGATCCTTCCGCGGCCGCCGAACCTGCTTCCGCCGGCATCGTGCTAATGCCACCACCGTGACAAGCTTCTACCGAGGAGACTGCTGTCACAGACTTCTCTGGCCTCCAAAGTTGCAGCCGCGCTCGTCGGGACCCGACCTGGCTGCCACCAACATCTCCACCCACGACCTTAAATCATAGCACCCGCTGGGCCGACCTCACGATGGCCCAAATTGCAACTCGGTAACCCTACCTGAAACTAGCGAGGACTTGCGACCGACCATCTCTTGCGGCTCGTACCCGACAATGGCTGGGAGCGAAAGTTTAATACGGCAGTGTCTTTCGCGGCGACCGAACCACAGATGCGGTGGCTGACCAGAAACATCTCCAACAGTACAATTGCCCGGGCCAGCTCCCAATTGTTTACCTCCGCGAGAGAGGCTCGTCTTGGATAGTAGAGGCCACTTGGGAGTCGTTGTCCCTTCGGCTAGATCAGAGAATCCGAAAAGCGGTGCTGCTCGTTGGTCGGGAAATCGAAGAAATTTGGCCAGCTGGGTTGTTGTTCCGTCGAGAAATTAAAGAAATCCAGCGGGCTGTTGGTCGGAAAATCGAATAAATCTGACGAGCCGCGCTGCTTGTTCGTCGGGAAATGAAAGAAAATCGGCGGTGCTACTTTCCTGTTTGACCGGAGTTACGAGATGGTCGGAACACGTGGAGTCGGGCTACGCGAGAGCCGATGTTGTCAGACGGATGCTGCTGAATCTCTGTCCACTTTGTCTTTTTTGAGAGGATCCCCAATTGAGGTGGGCTGGGGTGAATCTTATTTTACACTATTTGGGCCAATTAAAGCACTAGGTCCAAATTATCATGTTCCTTTACTCGTATGCAAATTTTGCTCAGGGCCGCGATTTTTGAACTGGAATTACTGCCCAGACCAAAGCTTTCTTTTTCTTTTTCTTTTTTTATAAAATCGAACTATTCCGGAGAATGGATACGCATCGCATCTAGATTACCGAATATCTCCTTTTTTTCAATGAATTTTTTGAATATGCCGGAACAGGGACACGGAATTTTTGTGTACAGTGGAATTCGAGAATAGGATTTCTTCTTTTCATAAGCCGATTTACCTTTTTCCGGTAGAACTCGATTGTCCCCACAGACGGCGCCAATTTGATGTGCCAAAATAATTGACTTACCGAGGTTGTCGGTCGAACCGCCTCATCTCGTGGCACAAGAGAGCTCAGACATCTCGATCGCCTTTGTCTTCAAGAACCGGATCGACCTGCAAAGCGCCGGAACGGGGCCCGGCGTAGACACTCCGACGCTCAAGTCAGAAAACGGATGTTTTAATTGTGTATTTCAATAATCTTAAGAGCTTAGATCTAGAAAATGAACCTGAATCCTTATTTATAAGGATTTAATGGCTTCTTACCCAAGAAAAAGGTTTCTTTAATAAACAAGGAGTCTCATTCTCCCAAATCACTGTGTGGATATATACAAACTTACTTAAATATCTTTTAGGAATATTTCATGGATCTTCATGGATATTTTTAACCCATACCATATATCGCATAAACGAGTTCTCAGCTTCCTTGGACCGACCCTATCCGAGCTAACCATTTAGTCGGTTCGCCGAGTCATTTTTGGTGCTACATCATACACTAATATACAATACAATATAATATAATGGCATGCAAACTATCAGAGAATGCATATCCCTAAGGATTTCCTTAGAGAAATAAACTTATGAGCATCCAACATATCAAATAATTGGTCATGTGTTGGAACATATTTATGAATAATAAATCCACCATCAACCAAATTTCTTGTATGGAAACTGCAGATCAAGGGAAAGTTGAAACATTTTATATGGAGGTGTTACTCTAATACAGTCTTAGTCAGAGAAAATCTTAGAATGAGAGGCATGGATGTGGACAAATTTGTCAGAAGTGTGGTGAGGAAAGTGAGTCCATTGAGTATCTTTTTTTCAGATGTCCCACTACATCATTGGTGTGGAAGTTAGCTCCTATTAGCTAGGAATTCAGTAAGGATAATTCTTGCAACTTCAAAATTTGGTGGGAGTGTGTGTGCTCCATTGGTAAGAAGGACATATCAGAGACTCGTATCCAGTTGACCACATATATATTATAGTGGTGATGGAAAGCTCAGAATTTGTGGATATTTCGAGATGAATGGCTACCAGAGCATCTAATTGTGAAAGCTGCATCATCAAGAGATTGGCTAGAGTTCTCATCACAGGCCAACAGAAGACCTTGAGAGCTGAGTCAAAGGGAGTCTAGGTCCAGTTTACTGGTTTCAGTGGGCACTCAAACTCAGTGTGTAGAGGAGTTCTGTTTGATCTGGTAGCTGACGTCTTCTTTTTCTCTTTTGTTTTTATTAATTGTTGTTTGTTTTAGTCTGGTTGTGTTAGTTTATGTTGTTTTTCTGTTTTATGTCGTGGTTTGTCAGACTGGGTTGTTTCTTATTTGTTGTACTGTTGTGGGCTGTCAAGGTTGCAGCAGTCAAGCTGCCTTGATATGCCTGTTGATGCTTTGTCTGTTAGTTGTTAGTTGATTGGGTCTAGACCACCGTGTAGTGTGCTTCTCAGGTTCTGTGTAACTTCAGGATTTTTGGCTCGCGACTTGTATCTGTGTACGTTGATGACATTAAATCTCCTATCGTTGCAGA